ACTTGTAAAAGAAAAGAAAGGAAGGTTCTGTTTCTATCTTGCCCTTGCAATGCTTTAATGGACCCCTGACACATAAACACCCACTCTCTCACGAGCTTGCTAGAAACAACAGAATCAGCTTGTAAAAGAAAAGAAAGGAAGGTTCTGTTTCTATCTTGCCCTTGCAATGCTTTAATGGACCCCTGACACATAAACACCCACTCTCTCACGAGCTTGCTAGAAACAACAGAATCAGCTCTACTTGTAAAAGAAAAGAAAGGAAGGTTCTGTTTCTATCTTGCCCTTGCAATGCTTTAATGGACCCCTGACACATAAACACCCACTCTCTCACGAGCTTGCTAGAAACAACAGAATCAGCAAAAATATACATAGCGCGTATATATAAAGCTGCAAAAGGAAGTGAAGTTAACCCCACTAATCTTTCATATATACACATATGTGACCCACCTTTAGTATGAAATCAACGTCCTAGCTAAACTTTTACTTGTTAATTTATGCTCATCAAATTAATTAATTAAGCTTGTTTTTTCTATTTTCATCTTGTCTAATTTGTATGTTTTTGTTCTTTTGGCATTTTTCAAAGAAAGTGACAAAAGCCATATTTGCAGGTGTAGGGCAGCTATAACAACCAAAACCAACCAATGTGGAAAAAGAGAGAGAAAGAACTTCAAGGTTACTATCTCACAATTATTATTAATCACAATATAAATCCGAGGATAATTAAGAACTTACTCCTCTATTCCCCGATGAAGTGCAGCCCATTATCAATTCTTCCAGACCAGCAGAAGATCTTTCTACCAACTTTTTGGCTGGCTGTTGCTGCTGCTCGCTGCTGGGCTGCTGCTGCGGCTGGGCGCCGGCCGGCCGACAACATAATTTGGGAAATTAAAATCTACTGGGATCGTTAATAAACACACGTACAACACTTTTATAGTAGATTAAGAAAACAAGCCGGTATAACGTATGGCATTTAAACTTGATTAAAGCAGATAAAACTAATTAAGCAGACTAATCTAGCTAATTTCTATCCAAGGACACAGGTATGATCAACTTAATTGCGCTCATTTTAGAGTCGCTTATGGTTGCCTTGAGATCGAGACATTTATATATTTTGTCTTTCTACAAGGCTTACGGCCTATTACGATGTAATCAAATGAAATGTACATGAAATCCCTTCAAGTCAAACTTTTTAAGGGGGAATAATTATCCTAACTTCAATTGGAGAAGGAAAAAAAATGTGGGAAATACCTTACCATTTATGAGCCAAGTAGTACTTAACCCATATGTATACGACAATAGTTAACAATGTTTGAAAAAGTAACAAATTGACTGCTAATACTTCCCATATCATGTGCTGAAGCATCTCTTTGTTAGGCATAATACTTTATTCAAATAAAATATATTTAACATGCGTATATCTCCTCTTACTACATATGTGTATCCCAACATGTTAATATTTATGTGTGTTTATTTTGTAAAATGAAAGAAAATATTTAATTTTGTTCTAGACATTTCCCTTAACATACAATACGTATGTGAGCAACCGTTTCTTGATGTATATATATACATATGCACGTATATATACATACATATTACATAGAGAGAAAAAGGTTGAATATATCTGAAAGGATCTAAATACCTGAAATTTATCGGTCTGTTGCATTAGTATCCTTGAGACATGGAAGGCGTCGTCAAGAACCACAGAGCTCTGATGTATCGGAGTAGGTGAGATGATAGAGGATATGGGATTGGTAGGTCGACTAATATTGTGAAATGCAGCACTTGCTGCCTGTCGATTTTGCTGCTGCTCTTGGCTCAATTGATGATGGCTAGTTGCTCTAAGGTGCCCGTGCTCGTGGTGCCCATGTTCTTCGTGAGTCTCTCTAGTCTTGGTTGATACCTCTCCCATGCCCACCTGTTACATACTACATAACATCAGTTACAACTCTCGATCCTCTTCCTTTTTCAGTTTCAAGGTTAGTTATGGGTACTTTTCTCTTACTTTTGTTGATGAAAGTGACACAAAAAATGGTATAAATAAGGGGATCATATGATGATTTCCTTGCAATGTTTTTGATTTTGTTGGAACTGCATAGAAAGTTTTACACATGTGCATTCGTTTAATTGGGAACATCAAGTTGGGTTTTATTTAAGAAGAAAATTGAGGTAATTAAAGAGCACAGAACAGTTCATGCGCATTGGCTGATGCAATGACGGCTAGATATAGAGTCACATGGGTTCATGCACTTGTGTGCTCTCTCAAGCACTCTAATAGCTCAAGCTAGTTTTATATGAGCATAATTGAGGTAGTTTTAACATTGTAACTCCATTTTATTTGAGTCAAAACAAAAAAACTTGAATTTTCAGAGAGTTAATTACAAAATTCCTGCCTTCTGCTTATAGGAAAAACAAATTGAACAAACATAAATGAAGCCTCAATATTATACATTCCTAAATGAGAGTATCCTTTCTGCTTTCTTTCAGTGAACTTTTGTAGTGATTTTGGCTGTAATCAACTTGAGAAAAGTATTTTTCTTCCATTAAAAATCAATTAATCGTAATATTATCAATTAATGCATAAAATAACCCAATGAAACAAAACTATCGTTTGTACTTTTAAACAAAATTATCGTAAAATGGCAAGTAACTAATTCATTGGTGAATAAACAGTGAACTTCCTACAAAACTACTCAATGCTTGTAAATATCCACATATTTACCTCATCAAAGCTCTTCCTAAAAGGACCAAAACTAAAATTCTCAATGCCACCATAATCACCACCACCACCAACCTCAACTTCTCTTTGCCCGAGGACCTCCTTTGACGAGCAACTCCCTGCGCTCCCCTTATCCGCCGACCAACTGCACTGCCTTGGTTGAGTCTGATAGAAAATCTTTGAAACGACGAGCTCTCCCTCTTTCTCCTCCTCAAGTTCCCCTAAATGGTATTGATGCATCACCCAATTAGTCTTCTCAGGCTTTCTGTGCTTTCCAAAATTGGTATACAGGACTAGTATCTTTTTGCATCCTTTTTGCTTTCCATTCACCATAACGGGCCTCGTCTTCCCCGTTTTGTGCCATCGAGTTTCTCCTCGTTGAAGATCGCATTCGGTTTGTATTTTTCGCCGCTTTCTTGTTCCTGTTGTGTAGGCCTTTGATGGCCTATGGAAGAAGTGCTTGCTCAGTCCATCTCTCGTTACTCCTTCACAAAAAAAAGAAAAAGAAAAAAGAAAAAGAAAAGAAATGAAGAACATGTTTTGTTATTGTTGTAAGAAATTGAGAGATTTTGTCTGTCAGATGTTGCAAAGTAATTTTAAAAAGTGATTGTTGTAAACATTGGCTCAGAAATTGAGAGATTTTCTATGTCAGATATAACAACCTTAGATGAGAAACTTCTAAGCATCTTTTTTAAAAGACTCAAGAGCGCATGGATCAGAAGCTTTCTGGTAAGATAATGGAGAAAAATGGAATTTATTCCTAAACATAATTAAATAAATTAAGATAAAATAGATATATAATGAAAAAAGGAAGGATAAAAAAAGGTATTGGCTCACAAATGTAGGGATACTTAGATGAAGCTTCTAAGCATATTTCTTGTAAGACCCAAGAGGGCATGAAATCAAGAAACTTTTAGTAAAAATAATGGAGCTAGGAGAATAGAATTTATGCCTCTAAATCTTTTAAAAAAAATAATTATTAAGTATGTGATTCTCGTTCTTGTTCTCTTTGTATACCTGGGAGTCTCTCTGGGTGAGTGTAACAGATGCCATCTTCTCCTTGAATTGTAGGTATGAACTCATCAATCAAAGGATGAGATAATTTTGAGTTCGAGTCCGAGCCAGAAGTCGAACCCTCAGCGACCTTCGCCTCTAGATGCTCAATCAGTTCTTGATCAGTCGGGTCGAACTTAACTCCAGCAGGTAACCCAACCCAGTCCTTGAAAATATTCATCAGAAATATTTAAGGTACAAATAGTAGCAGTAATAATATTTGAAAAGTAGATTCTTACAGGTTTCTGATCGAGCTTATGGCCGCAGCTTGGACACTGTTTGGATATGATCATCCTATGTTCTTCGAGCTTGGCGTCGATGAGATCAGTAGTACTGCTCATCACTGCAGCTTCATAACTGAATCAAAAATTCTGTTAGAAACTGAATTTAAATGAATAAATAAAGGAAAATATATAGAAAAAAGGAGGAGTTGATGAGCTAACCCTAATTAGAGGAAGAAGAGAGAGAGAGAGAGAGAGAGAGAGAGAGAGAGAGAGAGAGAGCCGTGAGAGAGGGGGATTGAGCTATAAAACTTTGTTTTTCCTTTTTTTTCCTTTGAGAAATAAAGAGGGAAAAAATTGAGGAATTTTGTTGTTGCACTTTAACTGAAGCCCATGAGAAAAAGGAAAAGGTCCCTTAAAAACCCTCACTCCCACACACAACACCACCTTTAAGCCTAAATTCCAAATCAAGGGGCCTGTATTCAGGTTTATGAGAGAGAGAGAGAGAGAGAGAGAGAGAGACTCCACTGTTTATCTTTTTTGGGGGGTTTTTAAATGATTTTATTTTCTTTAGGGTTTGGCTGCAAAAAGCAAAAGGAAGAAACCGCCTACACAGCTGTTACTACTAAATATAAAAAAAAAATAAGGGCCCAAATCAGAGTATTATGCTTATTAAATAGAGACATTAGTACATAGTGCATGCATTTTTAGATTTATTTTTATATGAGAAGTAAATGTATTATAAATTATCACTTTAAGACAACACATGCTTGAATCTATCTTTTATGGATTAGTTCCAAGGGACAGGTTCTGAAAAGATAAAAATTATACATTAGACCCTAATATTACAGTTCCGGAATTCTAATTAACTAAAAGAAGACCAGAAAGTTAAAAAAACAAGAATTTATCCTATCACTCTTGTGCAAGAACCTAGTGTTTCAAGTGTTCTTTATTTTTATTTTTTTATTTTTTTACTAGCTACAAAAAAAAAGGTTTGGATAATTAAAAAGAGATGTCCTCATTGATTATAAAATAAGATTTTTCTTTCTTTGATTCTGAATAATGGTAATCATCTGTCTTTACAAACACTGGTTAATTTCTGGTTGGCTGAAAAAAAAAAGAATAAAGAGAGAAAAAAATATTTTCTGTTCTTCTCTCTGACTAACAAGTATGGTCAATAGTTTACGTCACTTATTCACTTCTTCGTCCCTCTTGTTTTTCAGCAAATAGACCCATGACAGTAAAATAGTCAAAAAAAAATTTCACTTAGATGGTTTATATTTGTCAAAATCAATTTACAAGAGTAACAAGTTTGAAAACACAAAAGCACGAGAGTGAATGTGCAGTTAACCCTTGCATGGATTTTCATAAAATAAGAATTGGACCAAAATATTTTCTTTTCCAAATTTATGGAGCTAGCAACAAGAAAAAGGAAAAGAAATAAAAAAAAAGAAAAAAAGTGATAAGAACTCACATGGGTTTTGAGATGGTGTGTACTGAAATGATGAGCCTTTTTGGCATGAGCCATGAGCAAAGATGGTTTGCACAGACAAGAGGGTAGAGGGAGGGGTGTGGGTGAATCCAAGGGGTTGCTTGCTCTGCAAGTCAAATGGAGCAGTACACTTGATGGAGCTCCAAATAAAATAAAATACAACTAAAATACTTCACAAAACACATGGGCAACCAAGCAATCTTCCATTTGAAGCAGGACCGCTGTTATTATATGCAGGAGAAATTATTTAAATTGGTGAACCAAGAAGAAAAGGAAAAGAAAAGAGAAAGGTCCAAACTGTTTTCTTTGAGTTTTGTCCGGTGCAACAAGTTTTGTATACAAGAGAATGTAGCAATGAGGGGGACAGTTCAAAGAATGTTGATGATCGATCATAGTAATAACTACAATAATTAATAGTCAATATTAGGATTAATTAAACGTGGGGGTACAAGAGATATTACATCATTTGAAGGGGAAACCTATAGAAACTCTAATCATACTTGGGGGTAAGAACTTATATCACGTTCATCTATCAATTCTAAATTAATATAATCAAACAATAAAATCAATATAAGTGCAATAGACCCAATGTGCTATCTTCTAATTGTGCCTAAACCCCCTCACTAAAAAAATTCACTCATTTGCTCTCAGGATGTATATTTGTTAAAAATAATAATTTTTTTCTTTCTTGAGCGATAAGTGTAGGGAATTTATTACTGGTTTTTCCCACAATCATAGAACTAACGGGTCCATCCGCAATAAGGCGATACTGCAACAGATCCATCCACAATTACCTGGTTGAATAATTATATATTAGTATAATGACCAACTTCAAAATCTATGCTCATATATATGCATACCATGTTTTTATTTACTCCCAAATAATGATTTTCTATGGAGGACACTCTAGCAACATTTTCTTCCCGATCTTTTGAGGGGGAAGAGTGTCTTATTGGGCTTACATTCCTTTGTCCTGGAGTGGGTGTGACCCGAAAGAGGAAGCAGAGTTGGTTAGGTTTATCTAACTGGAAAAAAAAATCATCTCATTGAGTCTCCCTTCTCCAATACTCCATATTTTCCCCTTTCCCCAAGCCATTACTCATTCAACGAAGAAGACTAAAAGGACTTGAATGTAACAGCACCCAAAATGTCACCCATTGTTTAATTAGTTAGGTAGGACCTCATGCAGAGGGGCCACTTAACATTAGTGTAGACAAGATAGTGCATAGGTACTTCATTGGATATCATTAATTGGAATGTTAATGTAGATTTTATAGGATCATCATATTTGCAACAAAGTGTTGCCCTGCGCCAATATACTAGGCATGGTTTTGCATTATGAAAATGTTGAGATAGAAACTACCCACACCTTCACGGAAGCTAAATCAATTCCGAGAGAAAACAACCATAGCTTGAGTTTAAGCCAAACTTAAAACTAACCAACACAAGCAATAGCGAATACATAAATAAAACAGTAAGTAAATGAGACGACACAACAGATTTACGTGGTTCGGCAAACTTGCCTACGTCCACAGGAGCCGTACAAATAATTTCTTATTAACCACAAGAATTTACAAACTTGCTAAGAGAAGATCTCAAACTAGATCTCTCAAAACACCGCGGGTGATTTCAATCTAAAATCACCACTACAGAGCTTGCGCAATTTTTTTCTTGACCGAAAATTTCCCTCAATAAAAAAACCCCTTCTCAAAAAAAAAACCTTTTAGAAGCTGCAGCTGCCACAGAGAAGAAAACTTCTCTGTTAAATCGCAAGAAAGAGCGCTCTAACAGCTCATGAGCAGGTTTCCCTTTTATAAGGAAACCCTAGGGCGAGATATGGGATCCAGCTGTCTCCCACCAAATCAGGCGAGGTCCATCCGCTCTCGTGTGCAGGCGAGGTCCATGCTCTCGTGTGCAGGCGAGCCCCCTCAATTAGAGGCCCCTCGCCTATTTCTTGCCAGCAGGTGAGATTTCCACGTCTGAGCTCCACGCCTTCTCGCAGGCGAGCTCGATTGTGTTCACATGCAAGCTCCACCGCTTCTCCCCGTCGTCGTCGTCGAGGTCCTGTAGGCATCGAAAATTACCTATAGGTCTCCGTGAGCAGCTCAAAGCTAAGAGGAGGTGAGGAACGTCACCTATAGGTCTCCGTGAGCAGCTCAAAGCTAAGAGGAGGTGAGGAACGTCACTATCCAAGTCACAAAAGCTTGATTGACGTCGATGAACTAAGAGGAGGTGAGGAACGTCACTATCCAAGTCACAAAAGCTTGATTGACGTCGATGAACGCTTAAAGTAAATCGACAAACTACGTGAAGTAACAGAATTTCAGAATAACGAAGGCACGAACTGATCGGGAGTCCCGCGTCGCTTACAAAAGACGAAACGATGCTCCTATCCCAGCTTAATCCACAATGATCTCATCATCAGAGCTTATAGAACTCATCGTCAGATTTCCAACGCACTTTGAATCACTCAAATCAGAGTTCAGACGAAGAAATTACGGCGGAAACGGACGAATATGCGGACAAAAGCGTCTCAGCCTGAGTTGAGACACCCCGAGATGTCTCGGCACAAGCGAGACACCCCAAGGTGTCTCGGACAAGGCCGAGACACCCAAGGGTGTCTCGGCCTGGCTAAGACACCCAGGGGTGTCTCCAGGCCTAAAAATCGACCGTTGTGTAGTTTCAACCACCCGAACTCCCTTGGAGCCTATAAATACAGCCCCAGGCCCTCATTTTATCGGATCTAGAATTTTAGAGAATTGGTGAAGCCCTGTCGGACTGAAGATTGATCAAGTTCGTCAACGCAAGAGAGAGAGATTCTTCAGATCTGCATCACCCGTGTCCGTTCCTTAGGATTATCCCGTTGCGACAATCTTAAGAAGAGTAATTATCTCGTCGTTGTCGAGATAAGCGCTTCTGCTTCTAGATTCCTTCGCGAATCGACGGAGTTCTGAATCTGATCTGATTGTCAGGTAGTCCATGGATATCAACGTCCCCGTCACCTGCTAAAGACCCACGCAAGCAAGAAATGACGAATGGATCTTGTGTTATTTTTGAGAAAGTTGTAACCTTTTATTTTCTTTTGTTGAAAACTTGAATTCTTTTGTAAACAATTAATATTATAATGAATTCAGCAATGAAGGCAACTTTCAGCGAAAACAGGTCCGCCGACACCTTCAGTTACGTTTTCTTCAATTCTCCACCTCGTCCATCATTTGATAAACCTCAAATTATGGACGAACACCAGAAGAACACCACGAGCATCAACCAGACCAAACCAGCTGCACCATTATACCATGGCTTCCTACGTACCTTCTGTCTGAGATCAAGCTAATCGTAGTTTTGTTTTTGCCCTCTTGGGAAGATCAACCTTAGCTGATATTAAGCAAGTCCAAGCAATGTTAAAATTTGCTACCTGTCACCACATTGGTTAACATGTCTGCTAGATTCCCATTTGTGTGCACCTTTATGAGAGAAATATCACATTCCTCTATGACATCCCGCACAAAATATTACCTGACATCAATATACTTGGTATGAGCATGATGAACTTGATTCTTAGCAAATGAATCGTACTCTGACTATAGCACCACAAGTTCACTCAATCCTGCTCAATCCCCAAATTGTCTAACAGACCCCACAACCGCAATGCTTCCTTCACTCCCTCTGTTATGGCCATGTACTCAGCCTCTGTAGAAGAAAGTACCACTGTAGCCTGTAACATCGATCGCCAACTAACTAGAGCACCATATATTCTGAACACATAACCAGTAGTAGTATCACCGTCTATCAAGATCACCCGCATAATCTGAGTCCACAAATCTATCAATCTGACATGTATCTCCATCAAAACACAGACCCATGTTAGCAACACCCTTCAAGTACCTCAAGACCTATTTTACTGCTTCCCAATGCGCCTTTCCCGGATTCGCCATGAACCTACTGAC